GGCCGGACCAACACTCAAGGTCTTAAAATAATTGAGAAGAATTTGCTACCTTTCTATAACATCAAGAAATGGTTAGATATTCTAGTCTTCTCGGATAGGGACGAATAAATGGAGGTCCCGTCTCCTGCAGGGTTGGGGCAGGAGACGTTAATTTCCCACACACGAGATTACTGTGTGATGGATGTCCTCCCCTGGGGTGGGATGGGTGGGTTAGGACAGCAGGTCCACATCAGCTATTACAGCTGCCAATTAATCAACCTGCTTAAACAAATAAATGAACTTCAACTTCAATTTCAACTCTGTGGCGCTATACCTCTTAGTGAGTGTATGACACGTAACTAGCATATGGCCAGTATCAGCAATAATGAAAGCTTTGGGCGAGTCAATTGAATAAGAGAGGTGAGGAATCTTGAATATTTATGACCTTACATCGTTATTAAAGTCCGCTGGTATTAAACAGTCATATCCAAATTCCACTCGCATTCCAAACTGCACACCAGTAATGGGTATGGGTGCTCCAACCTTATACGTCAAGCTGAAATATTGATGAGAATTTCAAAAGTGATCATGAGAAAAACAGCCTAACCAAAATCCTTTTTTTCCTCAAAGAATTTAAGGCAGAAATCCAATGTAGTAAGGTCTAAATCGAAGGTTTTGGGTTGAAGTTGAGACTCTGAAGTTAAAGAAGTTATTATTCAAGTAACTTTCCACACTCAAAATTTTCGTCTCTCGTAAATTTGATTTTCATAAAAAAATCGTCTTTGATTTACTGCTGGCGATTTAACACAACTACCTATATCTTTCTTTTGTACTCTTTACATCCTTATGATCACTGAAAAATTAATTCCAGTGGTATCTCTACATTCCCAAGCAAAGGAAGCTGTTGAAATTTGAAAGATGCTAAATGATCCATAATTTGAGTATTACCCAAGGAAGATGTTTCCAATGCCAAGAAATGGTATGAAGAATGCTCTGCGCCAGATTCCTCTCATACCCAGTTTTCCCCCGACCACCTGTTCCTGGAAATCGTATTCTAACACACCGAACAGAAACAGTTCACTGTTAGCCGCTCTGATTCCTTCACGTTAGATGTCGCCATTCACCGGTACTTTGATATCTGCACGGAACCCAATTTTGATGTGATTTGCTGAGTCATTCCAGTCCGCCTTGTTGGGAAATGAATACGGAAAAATATTAGAAGAGATGAGTTAAGAAAGTTGAATAAACTATCTATTTCGACAATGATAGTGAACTACCCTATATACAAGTTACGTGTTCATGATCTAATTCTGTGCTTTAACGGTGTTATGCGCTAAGGAGAGTCTCAGTGGGGTTAGCTGTACAACCGTGCCCAAAACTTTAGTCATTAGGCGTAAAATAATGAAAAATTTTAACCGTTACTCGTAAAATTTTTGCAATGTGTCGCTTTTAGTCATATTGACTTAACCATAATGTAAAATGACCAAACTCTTTAAGTTTAGCCGAAAATGCCATCACCCCATTGAGAACATCTTGAAGGCTGTGCATATGGTTTTGCAGCCTATGCTCCTTTGAAAGAGCGTGTTGGGCTACAAAAAGGGACTGATATTAAGTATAATCTCAGTCGAGAGTGCTCCATTCAAAGATGACCATATTACTTAGAAAAGATTTTAATTTATGATCGACTAAAGATATCCAAATTAAGTCTAAATAAGTGCATACCTCCACATAGAGCTCAAGCTTGTGGAAGTAAAGTCCATCATAGATACGGACATTAGCGAAACCTGTGGCAATTCGGATTTTTCTCCATTCAAATTGACCAGTAATATACCATTTTATTGTTGGCCCCACAATCAGTTTCATAATTTCGCAGAATTTATTGCCTTTGCAGTCTCTTGGGAGAACGATTTGTGCTGCGGCAAAGATACCTGTAGATATTGGAAGATCAAACTACAGTTTGAATTCATCAATAAAAAATGCTACAATGCACCCTGGGCATTCATGTAAATTGATGTAAAGTAAAATATTTGACTCTGATGACGACCTCTGCCCTCGAAGGGTCAGTCACTACTACTAACAAAAGCCCGTCTCAGGACGATCAGACTACACAATAACAGTAAATATTAATCGGCGTGTTTAAAAGGTTGAAGCCTTCACTATTTGAAACTAATTTAAGCTCTTATTGAAAATATAACCGTCACCTTCCTAAATCATGCATTTGAGCGATATTCACTGACTGAGGATTGAAGCTTAAGTCGGTGCTAAGTTTTGAAGTCTGGTTTTGAAACCAAAATGTACCTCGCGGGACGCTAGAAGTGACAAAACTGTGCAGTGGCTCTTTGGAATACTTGGTCTCCGAATCAACCAGGAGTTGCTGAAAGGGTTCTGGTGGATGGAAAGACACTCCGACCTGTGGAGGAATTGAGTTTGATTTGAAATCTCAAGTATGATTTTAGACCAAAACTGTACAACTGGGAATTCAATTACCACTTTATTACATCCATTTTGAATCACAAAATTGAGTTGCTCATATAGGTTTTTAAATCTGTACAAAGACATCACATTTCCAGTATTGAGCTGATTTGGAAAAAAAATGCAAGAGTTGTCTTTCAATTTTCTCTGATTGATTGGTTACTTGTTAGATAACCTTGAAATCTGATAAATCGTGTTTTAGTAAATGTTTCTCATTGGCTAGGAAAAATGTGTGATTTAGAGCAAAATATGGCGCGATTTGTGAATAAATCGCACAGATGAAACCAAGCAATCCTTCAGATTCTTAAATCTACACGTACTTGTTATATATATTAAATTATTAATTCTTGCTAAAGAATAAAAATAATTGATACAATTAAGCTATTTAAATAGTAACAGTTGAAAAAAGGTAAGAATTACTTTAATTGATGTTTACATTTTTATACATAAAAATAAAAAAATACTAACATGTGTCACAAATTTACAACTGCTAAGCTTAGGCTAAATAGACTTTGTTTTCGTAAATGTTTAGACCCTAAGGTGGCGTAATCATTCTTGCACATAAAAATAACAGTTCACAGGCGTAGAGCCACGCAAATTCCTAGCCTAGTTTATCTAGTCCATTGATAAGATTCAAATCAGAACTATGACTGATTTATGACTCTTTCACATTAGAATGAAAGCAAATTACGCTGACAACGGTGTGACAAAAGCTACAATCAAGCAATACTTTACCTCGAACTCCAAGCCGAGTTTGTCCAAGAAATCGACACCAATTCCGGATAGCTTTTCCGCCAGTTTTCCATACGAGTATCGATCGAAAGAAAAACCCACTGCAAATGTTGGTCTTCCAAATCTAATTCCAGCCAAAATTTCTATATGAACGGGAACACCACCCAAATCTAATGAAGATGTGAATCTGAAAACGCCGTTCCTGACGAGCTTTCTTGTCAGCTGCGCAGGAGCTAAGGAGAAATCCCATAGACCTATCTTCCTGCAAGAAAAAATTCACTTATTCCTTTTAATCTCACGTCGACTGATCTCAGCAACCGGATGGAAGTCAAATACTTATGTGAACTTTAGTGCTTTTATTATGGTTTCCTTTGTGCACGTGATGCGCTTTTATTTCGAAGCCCGTATTATTCATGTATTATCACCTGTCGTCCTCACTAAAAACCTTAAGAACGCTGATTGAAACGAAAGTAAGTTATTCTTTCTTCGTCATCGTTTTCAATGGCATCCAGTTTCCCCTGTCTACAGGAGAAAACGGAGCTTTTTCAAAACGTTTCACCCCCAGGATTCTTCTTTTGTATCTGTTTTCCAAAGCGAGGGAGAAGTTTGGGACATTTTAGTGTGAAAACAGATTATTGTGGACAGGGTAAAAAAACATCCCTAACGTGAAAAGTCTTTACACTTTGAAAGGCTATTTAGAATGAACTGCATCTAGGTATCGGTTTTACTTTTTAGAAGTATGCCTTAAATTCCTTCGTCAAATTTATGGGTCAACGAGGAGATCGCGCCGGTGAACAAATACACAAGTCCACTGGGTTACAGAGAAGTCATGGAGCCCATTTACTGTTAATTTCATACTGCAGCGAGGATCAACCATGAAGAGCTCGCATTTTTGCTGAACGATGGACCTTTTTTATGTCTTCTCTTCGAATTTCACATGGTTAAAAGAACTCGCTGGTACAGGAATTACGGGTAACTTCACGTTTTTATCCTTTGTCTATCATTAAAATATGAATTAATTACTGAACAGCAATAGCAACAACAAACTCACTTTAATGCCGTAACGAGGAAGTCTGGTATGATGTTTATATCCAGACCAAATGATGCCATCATATCTATAAAGGTAGCTGATTCAGCATTGCCTGTCGCGTGCACTGCTCCAGTTAGAACATCTTTCTTCACCTCTGTGTCGAATACATTTCCCGTCTGCAAAGTGTATTTGCCCTTGGCTTTGAACGTCTGGGAATTTCCTTCAGTGTAGTACGAAAACCTGAAAAAGTGAAGCACTTTTTAACCTCTTAACTAGGCTGCACATGAAGTCCGTTCTTTTAAAACCATGTAAATATTGGTTTAGATTTGGTCAGCTAATGGGTATTATCAGGATATGAAGAAAATGTGCTTATTAGACCTGATATCATAGAGTGATTGAGCGTCTGAGCCGGCGCTAAGCTGTTTTGTGGCTTATTTACCCTGTTGACTAGTTTTTCTATCTTAGTCACCGATTAGCTCGTTTGCTCTCTGATTCCTTTACGCGCTCTTATTCTGCTTTTATCAGTTTTCAAGAATGCTTTTTCGACTACTTTGTCGTTTCCCGGTCATTTCGTTCGGCCTTTTATTTTTTGCAAAGCAAAGGCGGTTAGCTTAACTTGATATATGAGGGTTAGCATTCTTTCATTTATCATTTTGCGTACCAACTAAAGTAAAAAATTGTCTTCACAGAAAACACAGCTGGGGTTACCATCTCTCATTACAATAATGTTTACATTGACGTACGTGTCACTGAAACATTTACCCAGACTCACCTGACATCCGTCATTATAAAACCAGGAAGTGGTACGTACTCATCCGATTTTGCGCACTGAAACTCGTACTTTCTAAGTTGTTGGGATTCATCAATCCAGATGGTAAAGGCAGGAATGGTCTCCGTCAACTCGGGCTTAGTCCACTCTGGCAAAGCATCAATTCTTTCGTAGTAAGTTCCCTTGTTGTTGTTGATAACTATGTTGATAGTTAAGGAGTCCATTATCTCAAAGCATACCTGAAAAAATAAAACAGACCATAGGTAAAAAACTCGACATTTGATACGAAGAGAAACAAAGTGAAATTCAATTTTGCGTAACCACACACCTTTTTTAGCTGCTTTCGTCCATAATCATCTTGATCGTCGGCAACCATTTCCACGGCAAAATATCCGCTTTCCAATTCAGTTCTCATGAAGTTAAAGTTTGAATAAACAGCGGCGGGGATATTCTGTTTGTAAGAACCTGTTGCGGAAAACTTTTCGGCTGCTCCACACTCTAGAGCAATCCAGGAGTTTGGATCGGCTGGAGTTTTGTCTGGTCTAGGCGGCGTGAAAGCTAAAATTAAAAAAGAAAAAGTGAAGATTAGAACTCTTTCACGGATTTCACAAATAATCGCAGTGCACGTCTACAAACCTAATTGGGAATCACTGAGCGTGCCATTGGGTTATCGGTACACACGTGAAGGCCGTTGCGAACTTCGCTAACCCCCAATTTTCGACTGCGTTTCCTTCAAATGACATTACAATAAATTTCAGGAATAATTAAGATCTGATAATTTCTTACGTGTACATCCATCGGCTTGCGTTGGACAAATTTTCTCTTCTTCGGCCAGACCAGCGCAAGAGTCACCACCATTTGCCGGAGGGGGATTGGTACAGGTTCTGGTTCTTTTCTTAGTGCCTTGAAGACAATTAGTGGACTCCGTGCATGTGCTCCAAGGTGAATACGCTGACCACCCTCCATTGACAGCTCCTGAATGGTATTCAAACAAGCAATAAGATACATTCTACCTGCAGGTTGTTTTTCTGTTTGTTTGTTTGTTTGTTTGTTTGTTGAGAAAGAAAATCGAAAGGTTTAGAACAATTTCATTCATGAACAAACTGTTCTAATCCTGACAAAAACGAGATTGTGACTACTCACCGCGACATGATGTAAGTTGGCAACTCCTCGCTTGACTGAAATCCCCAGTGCAGTTTTCTCCTCCACTAGCAGGGACTGGGTTGTTACACAGTCGGTTCCTTGACTTGGTACCGGTGCCACACGTCTTACTACACGTTGTCCATGCTGACCACAAACCGAACCCACCATCGACTATAAAGAAAACAAATAGGAGGCAAACCAACCAATGATTAGTACTGAAACGACGAGTTAAACTAGATTGGACTCAACGATATAATGTTCGGCTGCTCTGCTCGCTCGTCTTTTCCTTTCGGATGGGCATTTACCAAAGAGGATTCGCTTAAAGGTACAGCTGAAGTTCGTCAGTCAAATAGATATGAGCCACCCTTACCTGGACAAGGTGCGAAGCAGGATCGGACACTTTCGCTGGCGTCACCAGCACACTGTTGTCCGCCATTCATTGGAGGTGGATTATTGCACAATCTGGTTCTGCTGATAAGAGATCCCCCTGATATTCCACATGTCTGAGGGCACCGTGTCCAAGGAGACCAGAAACCCCAGTTACCATCCAGAGGGCCCGCTAAGATAAACCAAAGGGAAAATCATGAAACTCGGAAGCCTTTTTGTACATTTTCTTTACTGAGTTATATTCTGTTTCTGAGTTTTGAAACTAGTGAAGCACTGAAATAAATATTCACTTCAAGTTGTCGCGTTTTAGGCATTCGTCGATCGCTGTGGTAACTGTGTGAATTTAATGTCATTCGTTTGTGAATGAATGATCGACAGTGTTTATTTCCTTAATGTCAGCTTGGGAGAACAAGATTTGTATGGCTTCGTGAGAAATCGAAATACTTTGTAATCCATATGATGTAAATGCTGATACAATCCCCTAAGACTGATTCTAATTTAGGGAGTTTCTGATCGTTTTTCTATAAAAAGAAAATCTTTTAGCACTACTACGTAGTTAGTTTCCTATTCTTCTAGCGTAACTAGCTAAAGTATTGAAAGGAAATATTTCCCCATTTCTACTCCTACATGCCCGTTGCTCAATTATTTCAGTCAATTTGCAACTTTGACGCCGGATATTTAGTCTATGAACATGTTATTGATGTTTTCACTTACTTGGACATGGTCCAACGCACTCCATCTTGGTTTCAACAGTTGATCCAGAGCAAGGCGTCCCGTCAGGAGTAGGGGTGGGGTTGGTGCAAGCTCTTGTCCTGTTTACTACAGATCCCCCGCACGGGTTTTCACATATCGACCACTGACTCCATTCTGTGAAGCCACCGTCGACTGAAAAGAAATAATTAAAAAGGGATTAAATATGCCAAAAGGACAAGAGTTTCTTCCTCAATCTTTCTCCTGTACAATTCCCTCTCTTCCACTCCATTTCTTTTCAGCTAAGGCCACTTAAATTTCTCTTGAAATAATAAATCAGTTTGGCTAATAATTTCAAGTTCCAATTCAAGTAGCATTGACCGTAAGTAATTTTTTGTATGTAGTTTTTTTTTTTTTTTGATTTTAATAACTGAGTTGTATGTTTATTGGTCAAATAAGGACGTTAAATCACAAGGGACTCCCCTTTCTTCTGTCGCGTTACCATATTGATGTCGTGTTCATGAATACATTGAGATAAAGCTATTATACGTGTCCTGCTTACGTGGTGTCCCGTTGTTATGCTAATCATATTATTAATGTACTTAAGCATAGATCAATTCGAAACTCCAACATTCCGCCGCGCATTTGAAAATTTGAGACAGGTTTGTTAAAAATTCCGGTCGCCCGGGCCAAAATTGTTTTCAAGTGCCACATGGCGGCAGAATCAGCAACCGTGGCTTTCTAAACATTGAGCAACCTTTAGCACCTAGTCCTTGTAGACCCTCTCTTCCGATGTAATTGCTCACGAAAGTAGACTATTAACCTTTAAAGATATAATACTTGTTTTCCGCTGGGAAGACTTGACACTCCCGGTTCAAATGCCCCACCACAGCCACGAACGGTTGAATTTTCCCACCATCCGGGCACGGAGGACGATCAAAGGCCCGTGGTTTTCCCCCGGAGGAAGGGGGAGTCGAAGCTTCCAATTATTCGGTGCATAACTCCTCAGGTAACGAGGGAAACTCATAATTTAGGAAAAGGAGAGCCTTGTGGGCTGATCAAAGAAGGAAATTTGGGATCTGCCTGAATGGCTCGGAATTAGAATGGATTTGCAACAAGACAAATAATTTTCAAAAGTAAAGCTTCAGCATTGAAGTGCACCTACTTCAAATACGCTGGAAAGACCTCAATAATTACGAGAGATAAAACCTTATCCTCACTCTGACAGTCCTCCTGCTGCGAACTATCTCCTTGCTCGCAGTACAGTCCATCATCACTGGGAAGGGGATTGGTGCACGTTCAAATACGCTGGAAAGACCTCAATAATTACAAGAAATAAAACCTTATCCTTACTCTGACAGTCCTCCTGCTGTGAACTATCTCCTTGCTCGCAGTACAGTCCATCGTCACTGGGAAGGGGATTGGTGCACGTTCTTGTTCTGATCCGCTGATTTCCCGCGCAAATCCCAGCTGCACAGCCACTCCATCTAGACCAACTGGACCAACCACCATTCGCTATTTTTGAGAGATAAGACAGATGAAAAAATAATTAATACATCAGATTTTTCACGATTTAGCTAATCTTTAAAAAATAGATACAGCAAATAGCTAATCCTATTGGTTCCTTTTCGAATTGCTTTGTTGCTAAATTTAGGTTACGTGGACAAAAGAATAGGTGTTGAAAGCAAATACACCATTAATTGCATATCTGTTTGCATGAATGAAACACTCTTCTTGTAAGAGCGGAAAGGAAGATCCATCTTACATTTCTTTCAATCGTATCATGCCAGAAATCAACTTAGACCTGATAGCTGTTATTCGTGTTAGGCGTGGTGTCAATGAATTCTACATATTTTAGAGATAGAAACACTGAATGTGGAAAAAAAAGAAAAGCTTTGAATTCTTCGGAGTACATAGATGTAGTCTAAACCTAAGAACTGGTTTAAATCTACCCTTCCACAGCTTTCCCAAGCAAAGGCATAGTAAAATTGGTACACTACTGTTGCACTAGAATCAACAGGAAATATTTTCACTTCGCGGGAATTTAGTTCCTTCGTTAAAAGGCGCGTAAAAGTCATAAAGTTACTTACTTGCTCCGGATGCACTACTCCAAAAAGCTACTAAAAGCGATAGAAAAAATATGAAAGAGCAAGCTTTTTCCATTGTGATACGAGTGTTTGGAATTAAATTGAGCTCTAAACTGAACAAGGAACAAGCATAACTTTCGCCTGTGCTCTCGTGAGCAGTTTGTGAGGAATTGATGAGTGTACGATGCTTAAATTGGGATCTTTGTGTCACAAAATATGTCAAAGTAAAGCGTAGGAAAGGTGTTCAAATATGTTCTGATATACAAATAACGCAGGTGAGATAATACATCCTGGTGGCCGTGAACAGAAACAAGTGACATAGCGCTATGCTTACCCGAAGTAATAAGAACGTTTCGGACCAAGTTTAAATAAATGGCTCAACAAAGATTATTATATAGTTTTTTTTCAACTACTTTGAATTTCTGTACATTTCATTTTTTTCCTCTCCTAAATAGCTGTTTAAAATTCTGAATGAAAATCCCACGCGTTCTTTATTACATAAACAATAGAGGAAATCTAAGAACTCATTTTATGATAATTATAATTTTTCTCAGAGTTATAAACTGTCAAAAAGTGTTACTTACTGGATAGGCTGGTAAATATGTGTTACTGCTGGTAAATATGTCGACGGTGCTCATTTGTGTAACAGTACTGTCGTGTTGAACATAATAAATCAATTTGGCATCGTGGGTGTGTCAGCAAATGGAGGGCGTAAAGTTGTACAGTTGTATATTTTAAACATAACGCTTGCATCGACGGCGAATGAAAAACTACTTTACTTCTGATTTTACTCTCTTTGAAATAGTCCTTAAATAAAACTTTGCAGGAAAAGAGCAAAACAAAATTCCTTATTTTCAATTGAAAGCAAGCAGTGAAAAATTTTTTTTTTTTGTCTTTTGACTCTTGCCATAAACCTAATGCTTGACTTCTCCATCATTTCTCCTGATCAGTGTTTATTAAAAAAGCTGCAAAGTATTTTTGAACCTATGTCATTATATTTACTCAGGAACACCTACATCAAATAGCAGTGGGTGTTACGGTTCTCCAGCTGTAAAACGCGACCTTTTTGTTCAGTAGGGGTGCAACGTACTGGAATTTACCTCACAAACTCTTAAAGATGAACTTCTCCTGGCCCTTTAGCTCCTTCGTATTAACATTCAATTAAAAGGGTCGATCGAGGCTTACTGACTATGTTCAGCAAAACATTATTTTCATCGAAAGGTATAGAATAACTCACGCAAGCATAAAGAGAGCAATGTAAACGAAGAAAACCAGGTTTAAGTCTCTGGGCAGGATTCCAAGCGATTTTAACGGCTAACTCTGTGATGGAGCAGTCAGTACGTCATGACAATCGTCATGGTTTGTTTATAGTCGCATGACCTGTTCACTCTTCTCTTAAACAATGAATACACAAAGACGCCTGGCTCGGAATTCAAGAGTTTGCCCAGTTTTGTCACCATTTCCTCTCTCGAACCATAATGCACCTCCGCTCTCTCCCATCTACTCTTAAAAGAACATAATTTTCTTTCCGATATTTACAGTTTTGTGATTAGAGAGTTATTCGTGATTAGAAAGCTGCCTTTTGCCACGCTTTTACAGTTATAATTTGTACACGTTTGCTGCAGGTTACCAGAGGGAAAGAAAAAACTCTACAGAGAAGCAAAGACCACGTGGCTCATAAAGGTCAAAGATTCAACGCATTACAGAAGCCTCTCGTGGTCAAATAAATATCACAACACTGAACAAACCTTACTTTTGTGGGTGGCTTGGTCGTTGAACATGACAAGCTGCCTAGAAGTTGCATAAACTAATGTTTGTCCACTGCACATCTAGCAGAATGAAAATTACTAATTTCTTGAATCCTGTTAAGAATTCAGATTTTCTAGTTTTCTGCTGCTGATTTTCATTTACTCAAAACTGACTTGACTAAACGTGATTTGCTGTTGCGAAGGAGATTTAGTTGCATTGCATTTTAAAATATCACCAAAGTTAGGAAAACAACAGATTACTAGCATGAATAATTGAGTTCTCCATCGCTTTCAATTTTAACTTTTTTCATTCTCCCTCTTACATAGGAAACACCTCTGTCAGCGTACGTATGTACCAATGAACTCATTTTACAGCTCGTCTCAATCGATGAAAAACAAAACACCTCGCGAAGAAGTTATCTGACGCCACAACTGGAAGCAGCTTATTTGTATATGAATAAAAAATTGTGGCACACTAAAGATACAGGTAACATCTATATAGCAGCAGGTGGAAAACGTGAGAAAAGAACACAAGAGTCTAAGGCAAATAAAAAAAAGCGCTTTTTGGCTCTTGTATGTATTTTTTCTTAGGAAGGAAAAAGGAGAATCCCTGTCTCAATTTGACTTTGGAAATAAAACCTCGGAACTGGTTCCAGGGCTAAAACTAAGTCTAGCTGAAACAATATCTCAAACGCCATACAACTTTAAAACTGTTATAACTCATCCGCACAAAAACCCGAGTTCGTTTCGCTCTTGAAGCGAACTTTATAGCAACAGCCGGGAAACTCATTTGGCACTTTAGCCCTGATTGGCGTGAGTTGCAAAATTTTGTATCCACACATTGATCGCCTGGAGCGACAAATTTTGACCCGAAGACAAACATTTTAAGAAATAATTCTACATTTCACATATTAGTCAAGGTAAATTTTTGCTGCAGATTGTCCCAGCAACTTGTCGCAGTTTAGACAGAGCGCATAGACACGGACTGGCTTAACGCGGAGATGTTGCTGCGAAATGTTCATACCGTACCCCGGAATTTAGAGAGATTAAACGTATCACTTTATATCCTCTCTGGGAAAATGCTGAAAAGTTTGTCTCCCAAAACTTTCTTTTTGTCAATTTTCTGTCTTTTCCCTCCCCAACTTTCTTTATTTTAAGTGGGCTGTTTTTCTTGTACGTTACAAATCAGCCTATCCCAACTTTAGTTGAATCCTTGGGTGTTCATCTTGCGTTTGCAATCTACACTTGATTTTGCATCCTCTCATGGCGTGGTGATATTTCGAGGGGGGAGGGTTGGTGCGTTGGGGGTCATATTAGCTCAATATAACTTAATATGAGGTGTTGAAAAACAAATTTGTTTTCCAGGATACTACCACGGAGAAGTTGTCATTAAGCTTCGCCGACCGGCAGGGACACCGCAACAGCTTGCGCCAGTTGCTGC